GCTGCTGGCCCCGGGCCGGGCACCGAGGGCACCGCCACACCTTGGGGATAGAGCAAAAGCACAGCGGTACCGACAGGCACACACACGATTGTTTGCACTCTTGGAGTCTTGGGGTAAGGACAGCTCGATGCCTACTACCAGAATTAGAATGTAAACATCAGTTTTTTTGGGGGGGGGGGAGGGGTCTTGGTTAATTTGGTGGGGTTTGTTTTTCTTTCTTTGTTCGTTTGTGTTGTGATTTTTATTTGGGTAGCACTGATGTGGAGAAGGTTCTGACACCGTAATACTTGGGTCTGTTGCTCTAGGACATATAAACTCTTAGAAAAAAAAAAAATACACTTGCCAAATGAATGCTTTTAGAAAATTTAGTTTACAAGATTCTAAAAAATTGGAGAGAAGGGAAGAAATCAACGACCCATCATGTTTTTGACCTGCAGGAAACAGAAACTTCTCATTGGCTGATCTTAATTAAAGGTGCATTTTGTAAAGCACTAAATATCCTCAGTTAAGTATAAGGTTTTTAATACAGAAACAAATTGTGCATGTAGAGTATTTTGAAATACCTGAGATTTCATAGTAAAAACTGTAGCCTTTTAATACCGTATATGAAGTATCAGAACTGCTTTGGAAGTATTGTACTTACAGCCGTACAGTAACTTACTGTTTGTGGACAGTTTCTCTTGCTTGCATAATAAACATTTAATAATTCACTGAATTGAAATGTATTGTATTTATGTTAAAATGAGCCATGCTGACTGGCTCTTACCTGCTCCCTAAAATTAAGAGGAAAAACACCTAGTGCTTAGATGCTGCCATTCTCAAGTGTGTGTGTCACAGTAGTGCTTTTTCCTGAAAGTGACATATGAAGAGTCAAAACTGACTAAACCTCAGACCCAGGGCTCCACTGTTGTATTTTTACTGGAGTAGTTGGGCACTCAGCAGCTCTGGGCTTGTGCCAAACTCTTACCCTCAACACTTGGGCTTCCCCGACATTACAGGAGCACATAACATCTTCCACAGAGAAACAGGATGCAGATTTTTTTTTATTCCATCAAGGAGTGATTAAAAAAAAAAAGGTACACTGGTAAAAATCAGATTCTGCCAGTAACAAACATCCAGTAAACATTTTATTTAGATGCAGATAATCACCACTGGGATACAGGAACTCGTGCTTGTGCCCACCCATTGCTGTCTGTGAAGCTCAGGACTGTATGATTACAACACACTGATTAGGATCAAATTTGGAAGACAGTTTTAGCAAATGGAAAACTCCAATTTCAGAAAAGCAATAGCCCCTTCAATACTTAACAAAAGATTAAATTCAAAGCAGTTTCTGAAAGCTTTGCTGCTCCCCATCATCCAAAGTGTTTTGGTTCATATATGAATGTTTAAAGAGGAAGCCCTCAAGGACATTGAAACACTTTTTGTTGTGACCCTCATCTAGCCCAGGGTTGTGCTTGCTCTTCTGCCCCTGTATCTATCTGCCCCTTCTCTCTCTCAACTCCCATGTCTCTGTAAGACAGATTTCTGCCAGTCCTTTTCAATGTTTGCCTACAGAAGTCCTGAAACACATCTCTAACCTCACCACCTTTCCTGCCTCCCTGCTTCCAAGGTCATCTTTGGCTTTTTATCTCCACTATACCTACAGACCTCCACTGAAGCAGGTAACCCAGGAATCTCACCTTGCCTGTGCCACTCTGTCTTGCAGAACTGTTAACAGTACACACCAAGCAGGCAGAACCCCGAGTTTTGGGTAAAAGCATCTCATGGTCGGTAATTCCACAGAGGGAACTGAGAAAAGACAAGACGCGGCAGTGCAAGAAGCCGTGTGTGAAGTGCTTGAGCAGCTGCAGGAGCTGGAGTGTCCTGTGAGCTTTACACACAGGGACACCTCCCTCATCCTGGAGCAGGAGGCAACAGAAAAAAGCAATTAAAAAAAAAAAAAATCCTCACAAAAAGCAGAATGAGCTCCATGTTTTTTAACGAGGAAGGACACTTTAAAGCTTTAGTGAGTTTGCTGTCCCATTCCTTCCACTTGTCCCTTTTCACAGGAAGGCACACGTACAAACACACACACATACACACACAGACCAGCCTGGGCTGAGGTCACACGTTCAGTGCCAGGGCTGGAGGACATGGTCACCACAGGCCACACCCTGCGGTGGCTGTGGCAGGCTGAGGTGCAGCTTGGAGCTCTGCACTTCAGTCATCCCCTTCTAGATCTGTCCTTTGAGCTTTACACAGTGAGGACCAGAAAACAGCTGAAAATGCAGTTCCAAAATCGAGACTTGGAAGATGATCAAGCAATGGAATTGTTTTTCTTCAGCCCCTCCTTGATTCTCATGTTCTAAACATGGGCAGTGGAGTGCATCCCATCACAGAGCATAACGGAATTTTGGGAGTGATACAGACTTCTTTTCTTTTCTCTTTTACACCTCATCCTTTACATCCTTTACATCCTTTACATTAGCTCTGTTATGGGTAAACTCACCTGCCAGCAAAGGAATAGTTTAAAAGTTCATCATAATTGCACCAAGGTTTAATGCATCACCATTCACCCCATAAATAGCAAAGGCTGGGAGGAATTACCTGCGCACAGGCACTGCTCCCTGGGACCGAGGACACTGTGAGTGCTGACACCCCAGCAGCAGGACGGGGTCACAGCAGCTTCAGCAGGAACTCGTAGGTTGCATTGATGATCCCCCAGGACAGCACAGAGCGGTGGTAGTTCAGGTGGGCTCCTCTAAAGAGGTGGATCAGTTTCCTGTCACGTTCCAGCCAGATCTTCACTAACACTTTGGAAAAGGACTGAAATTCGCCACCGATCTGAGCTTGCATGCGAGTTTTTACGACATTCACAGGGAAGAAGAGGAAGCCCAGCATGGCGCCCAGCAGCCCGCCGCAGATGAAGTCGTTGACCAGGTGAGAGCTGTGCGAGGTGGCTTCAGGCAGACACTGCTTGATGGGCCCCCGCAGGCCGAAGAAGAGCACGTTACTGGGCCCATTTCGGAGCAGAATAGGTACCAATCCCCGGTAATACTCCCGCACCCCATACGCTTTCAGCACCTTGAAAGCCTGGTAAGTGTTTGTGAACTTGTTGTGGTGTTTGTAGTCCTGGAGCAGCGTCTGGACGCGCTCGAAGGGCGTGAGCACGGCCTCGGTGGTGCCGGCCAGCACGGCGGCCGCGCTGCGCGTCAGGAGCTCTGGGGCGCGGGCGTGGCTCAGCAGCAGCGCCGAGAAATCCTCGTAGAGGCCGAACATGAGCGCCAGCGTGGTGGTTTTCTGCATGAGCGGGGGCAGGATGCCGCGGTACAGCGTGCGCAGCCCGTCGCGGCGCAGCTGGCGCACGGCGTCCCCCGTGCGCAGCCCGTACAGCTGCTGCCGGAACAGAACCTTCTGGATGGGGAACGTCACCACGATGTTGGTGAAGGCCGCGCACAGCCCGCACAGGTAGTGCTTGCCCGAGGAGCCCGCCGGCTCCGCCGCACCCATGGCGCCGGCGCCTCCTCCCCGCGCCGCAAACAAACCGTGAGACAGCTGTGGCTGGCCCTGCAGCTCTGCCCTCCTCACTCTAACATCCTGCTGGAAAAACGCCCACAGAGGCTGAAGGGGAAAAGCAGCAGAAAGCCAGATCCGATGGATGTTGCGCCATTTTCGCTTAAATCTAGGTGACCGTAGAAAGCAGCAGTTCTTCCCTTCTGTGCTCCTTCAAATTAAGACAAAAATAAATCCCCCTGGAATTACAAATTCCAATAGTGAAAGGTTGACCCTCACGCTAATAAAACACTGTGTGAACACAACAGAGGCTGCCAAAAAACCTATAAAAAAAATGAGCTAAAACAAATACACGCAGCAGCATTACAAAACCTGATCCTTACACTCTGCTTCCTCCCTGTGGCACAAAACAGCAGGCAACACCGTCGTGGCTCAACTCAGCCAGCACCACCACCACCACCCACAGCAGATGCACAGGCGTCACACAGGTGTGATTGCACTGAGACAGCAGAGAGATTCTTCACAAGTCCCACTTCACTGCCATGCAGCCTCCTCCGCATCAGCCCCCACGCTCGACATCCACGTTCTGCTGAGAAGTTTCAGAAGTCGAAAGGTCCAGGGTCCTGAAGGATGTGTGGACAGAGGCAGCTTGACCAAACAATCTGGAGGATGACTGCAGGGATTTTTACCTGGCAAACCCTGTTTGACAGAAGAACAGGATTATTTAACAGCTAGGAGAAGATGTTTCTAGAGGTGCCCAAATCCCACCCTCGATCACAGCTCAGCCTGAGGAAGGTCTGTGACAGCCGTGTGAGGCTGTGGGTGATCCACAGCCCTCAAATCCTCCCCAGCATAAGCAACAGACATGAGACTCCCAGGATTTGAAGGGGCCTTTGGGGACAACAACCCTGCCTGGCATGAGGATCTACCGAAACGAGGAGGGGAGAAAGAAAGGAGGAAGGAAAAGGAAAGGAGGGGCAAGAGAGAGGAAGGAGCAGGGAGAAACAGGGAGGATAAAAAGGAGGGAAGAAAAGGGCGGAGGAGAGGAAGGCAGAGAAGGAAGAGAAAGGATGAGGAAAAGAACGGGAAGGCCGTTTATTCTCCGCAGCTGCCGTTGCCTTTGATACGAGCAGTGTCCCCGTCCCTGGGGAAGCCCTCGCGCTCCTGGTCCAGGAGAGTCCCGAGAGGTCCAGGCCGGCTCCTCCCCGCTCTCGGGCGCGGGAGCCGCAGCTCCGCACTGCCCACGCACATGCCGGGCCCGCGACCTGCCGCTCCTCCCGGC